GTTCGAGGACGAACGTTTGTTTTAGAGGTGGAGAATGTGATGACCCAAAATGTCATCTTTAAATTTAATGATTAATTATATGATCTAAGCACTATTTACCATTACTCGACTTGAGTGTGCAGTCCGTAAAAAATTTTCGGAAAAGTTTTTAGGTAAAAAAATGGATTAAAATGTGAATTAGAGCTTTAAAACTCAATTGAGTTGACTTTGGTCAATATTTTGAGCAAACGGACTTGGATAAGTGTTTTGACAGTTCTGGTAGGTCCGTATCGTTATTTGGGACTTAGGCGTATGCCCGGAATCAAATTCTGAGGTCCCTAGCCCGAAATATGGAATTTTGATAAAAAATTTAAAGTTTAAGTTCAAATAGTGACCGGATGTTGAATTATGTGCAAATGACCCCGGAATAGAATTTTGATGATTCCAACAGTTCCGTATGGTGATTTTGGACTTAAGAGCGTAATCGGAATTTTATTTGGAAGTCCGTAGTGGAATTAGGCTTGAAATGCCGAAAGTTAAATTTTTGAGAAGTATGACCGAGGGGTTGACTTTTTGATATCGGGGTCGAAATCCGATTCTGAAAATTTTCATAAATTCATTACGTTATTTATGACTTGTGTGCAAAATTTGAGGTCAATCGGAATTGATTTGATATGTTTCGGCGCAAAATATAGAAGTTGGAAGATTTAAAAACTCATAATTCGATTCGATGCGCGATTCGTAATTTCGACGTTGTTTGGCATGGTTTGAAACCTCAACTAAGTTCATATTGTATTTTGGGACATGTTGGTATATTTGGTTAAGGTCCCGAGGGTCTCGGGTGGATTTCGGAAGGTTAACGGAATGGATTTCGGACAAAAAGGAAATGCTGGAATATTTCTGCTGCAGAAGCTATTTTTGGACAGCAACCGGCGCAATCGCAGAGCTGACTTTGGGAGCTTATATCTCGAAATCTATAAGGAATCTAAACATTATCAAAACATGAAAGTTGTATCCCTTTGATTCTAGTTTGCAGAACTTTAAACCGTTTGGCAGTTGGAGTTGAGTACAAGAAGTTATGATTGATACACTACAGGCTGTCGAGGAAGAGTTTGATATTTTCAACATAAGCATGTAATGATCCAAAAGTCCATTTTTAGTTCTAGAGATCGAAATTGGATTTCGAGACTTTCAACATTTTGATAATGAATTATAGGAGTGATCTGGAAAGTTTGGTCTAATTTCATCAAGTCGCGATTGAGTTTTAAGCGCAAAATATGAGTTAATTGTTTAACGAGCGAAATTAGTATCACATTGAGCAAATGAGCTCCGAATTTAGTTTCGATTGAACGAATGGGTTCGTAGTTTTATTTGTGACTCATAGGAACAAGAATCGTCAAATTCCGAGTTCGTATGATGGAGTTAGAGCCTTTTTAGTGAAATAAAACTGTTGGTGTAAATAGTCCTGGTGTGCACCTTTAGCGACCAGATGTGACACTTTTAACGACGGGATTGGACTTTTAGCGACCGGAATAGTGTTTTGGGGGCAGAA